TAAATCTCCCTACTTTTACAAGAATCTCTAGTAAATGTACGGTAATACAGAAACAAGTGATAGATGATACGTAAAAATAATGTTATTTTGTTTCTGTGTCACACAAAATTATGCGGGGATTCTTTTTATGTTTAAATATGATTTCTAATAGTCGCATTTTGCGTGTGCAGAGATAAATTTAATAAATAGAAGAAAGTCCTCCATTACGAGACAGGCTCCTGATACGAGACAATGGGTTTTCAACATCCAATTTCACAAATCTTTTTTCACAACGATCACACGCACGATCTAACAATGAATTTTCCACCAAACAGATTTTACGCCAAGGGCAATAAATTCATGGTGGAACCAACAGACGATGTCTATTAATTTAGCGGAAACTCCGTTATCTCATATTAGGAGCTTACCTCCCCTTGGGAAAATATACCTCAGAAAATCTTAAAATTTTACTTTAGAGAAAAAGAAGAAACATGAAAAGTAAATTTGGGCACTTAAAACTTTTATTTGAGGTAAACTTTAAACTTTCTTTAAGAATTTAAAAGAAAAGATTTAAAAATCGTGAAAAGTATGTGATATAATTTATAATATCGCGTGTGGTTTTCTTCTTACGAGAAACTGCTATGTTGCGCGGCCCTCTAGCGGGAATTTCGACAGGCTTGGCTATCTAAAAATTACTTCAAGTGTCCAAAATTACTCTAAAATTTCTTAAATAAACATTTAATTTCTTTAAGTAAATTCTAAGCTTTGAAAGGTTACTTTGAAAGACTTTAATTTTTCATTTAAAGTAAATTTTGCCAAGGGTCATAATAGACGACTCTCCTCTACATTTGTATAGCGATGCTTGAAATTGGCGACGTCGTTATATTGTTGATTTTGACAACGTGATCTCGACGCAAGGCTCCGATCGCACAAATGAGGGTACATTGAATTCGAGCGTAACAAGGTGGTGGCCAAGAAGCTTCTCGGGTTTGCCTCGGGGATAAAGTGAAAGAAAGCGAAGAGGCTCGCGGTCGGTACATGTTCCGTCGTTCCTCCAATTTCCGGCGTTCAGCCGGCAGCTCGCGCGATTTTGCGAAACGGCCGCTTCGCAAAAAATTCCCGACACGACTCCGCACTTTGCACCGAGCGAGACGGGTATATCGCTTCGCGGGACTACGGGAATCCCCGCAGTCGCTCGTGACCGAAAATGGCTGGTGATACCAGCCCGGGGATTTCGTTGAGAGGCTGAAGTACAGAGCGATGGAAAAATAACTCGCGTGAATATAGACACGATTTTCTCCTCAACGCTCGCATACCTCAGGACGCAGATATAAGGTAATCTCGAAATAATCCTCACCATTATAAATTTGTATCTATTGTATCTATTTAATCGAATTCCCTCTGAAATTGCCTGTCATCCGGCGCTGTTATAAAAGAAAATTAAAATCTGTCAATTTTTCGTTTCGTTCGACAATAACTAACGTTAATTTTCAACTTTTGTTTGATTAAATGTAAAATTCCGAGTTTTAACGGCAACATAATCAACAATCTGCAAAGTTGGCTGATGCTGGAAAACAAGGGATTGATATTAATTTTATGAAATTGAAAAACAATGAACGGCAGAGCAATACGCGGCTGAATATGATTGAAAGATGGCGGACTTTCGCGGGCTCGAACGTATTGATTTGTAAGGCCTCGCACGAAAGTCTTACGAATAATGACATTTCCACCCCCGGAGCGAAATAATATTCGTGTCGCCATCTGCGCGGGGGTGCTGCAAGCGACAGCATCCAGGGGTTTCCCGCGATTTTCGCCAGGTGGCGGGGGCTGACGCGTTTTCCGCCCTTTGTGCCCCGGGGTGGTTTACCACCCACCCCCGTCTTTCTCGTCGCCCCCGAAAGAAGCCGTTTCCATGTCGCAGGCCAAGAGGAGGAAAGGAGCGAAGGGGGGTGGAAGGGGGAGAGAGTATCGGTCGATCTTTAGGGAGATTTTCGTTGATTTACAGCGCCATTATCGATGCGACGCGCACGCCCGCGTCAACCGGTTTCTCCGGGCGTATGGTGAACGCCGTAAAAGGGGCTGTAAATCCATTATTTACACGAGGCATGCGGAGGCAACCGGGAGGAAGGTCGCCTCTTCGAGGCACCGTGAATTACGAGACCGGTTTCCGCGCACCGCGACGCGCTCATAAATATTTATCTCGCGCCAGCCAGAAGCAACGCGCCAATAAAACTGATTACGCTGCGCGATAAAAACCGTCCGTATATCGGGAATTGATTTGCTCGCAGCGACCGGGTTCCTCTCGCGCTAATCCGGACCTGAGCTACCTCTATTTCGATACGAGGAGTCCTCCGATTAATCCGCACCGATGTATATTGTATATATATATATATATTATTCACCCTTAAATGGATCTAATCGACGTTTTATTTCTTGCAAGCAACATTTGGAACGTGGGTAAGTAAAAAATTAATTTACACTTATCTTATTTTTTCCTGGTAAATCCCACACCTGCCTCCGTTACTTTCTATTAAACGTGTGCGAATCGAATCGAATCCGTTCTTCTTCGAGTAAAATCTTTTCACGTTCAAAATTGAGTCAATCTTTCCTGGCCTCGTTTTATGCAATTTTGAAAATAAAATCATGTACTTGAAAGTTTTTCAATAACACCGTTTATTTGTAAAATTATTTCAGTATCACACTCGAAATCGAATCGTCGACGATTCGAAACCATCGTGTTGTCCGAACTCGAGTCTCCACGATTCGAAAACGAACCTTCGGTGAATCCAATTCGAATATTTTTTTGCTCTATTATGTTAATTTGAAATTAAAACCATATACTCGATAATTTTCTCAATGACACCGTTTATTTGTAAAATTATGTCACATTCGAAATCGAATCGTCGACGATTCGAAGTCATCGAGCTGTCCGAACTCGAGTCTCTACGATTCGAAAACGAAGCTTCAGCGATTCGATTCGAATTCGAGGCGATTTGCGCACCTCTACTTTCCATTTGCATCTCAGAAAGCCCGTGTTTGATTTCAACGAATGGTCCAGCGACGTTTTCCCGGCCGAACGAAAGCGTATCTCGCATCGGCGACCTTCATAAACGTTTCGAGCGAGTTACGAGCGCGCGTGCTCTTTTTTTATAGCGAGAAATACACCATCGTTCGGGGGGGGAATGGTTTTCCTTTTATTAGGATATAGCTTCACACGCGAAGTGATTTATGGCAGCGCGGCGGCGGCGGCGGCGGTTTGGTTGCACGCGCGCGAGCCGCGCGCGCTCACGTGACGACCGAAGATGAAAATATCTCCCGCGCATGATTCGCGATACATCAATTTTATGCAGAGCGGCATCGATCGATCCGCCTTTCAATTTTCATGTAAATTTCGCGGCGATCGCCGTGTCCCTGTCGCTTTCTCTTGTCCTCCCGGCGGCGCCTGTTCCGGCTCGAGATCGCCATGATGTATAGGACCCAGCGGAGGAGCGCGAGCGTGGACGCGATTGCGCGACAACCGTCGCAGTGCTCCTCGTAAAGGAGAAATGAGACAGAATATTTGTCCGCTTACAATGTCGCTCGTGTTCCACAAATATCATAAACTTCGATATACGAGAGCCGCGCGTGCGGTAAGCGCGCATTTGCGTGGCTCAGCTGGAGAAATCGAAAGTGCGACCGTGTCGATAACGCGGCGGTAAAGTCGCGTTAAAAATCCGTTGAGAACACCTCGGCGTTCAATGCGGCTCCGCTACTTTCTTTACGTCTTAAACGCGCGTTCTCTAACTCAATCCAGGGGCTCTTAAGTATTGATAAATCGATATTCACGCCGTGAGATATATGGAACGAGTTGTCGTTGTCAGAAGGGTGGCAAGAAGACCCGGTAGGGAGAGTGTCACGATCGAGTGTCTTGATTTATCGGGATGTATCGAGTGCGCGCCAGCCATTCTATCGGGCGTTTCGGAGGAAATGGGAGATACGTTAGTTCGACGAACGGTCGTCGGTGATAATTGAAACCGTTAATTAAATCCCGGGATAAGCGTCGCGGCTAAATGAGTTTTTAGATCGCCGCCTCTCTCCAAGTCGCCAAGGGATGAAATCCCTGCCATTTCATCCCCGACGTAGCCTGTCACGTAAATGATATTTGCCTCTCCTTCCCTAATGTCGCCTCATCTCGTTCGAGAGACACCCCTCAAATCTAAATATGTATCCAAATAAATTTTAATAAATATGTAAAGATTTAGCACTCGATATTCTTCGATAAAAATGGGTTCAGCTTCAGCTTTCTCTTCTTAGGAAGTGGGTGTTAATTTCGGGAAGGATAAGAAGCTCCAATAAATAATTGAAACGTGGTAATCCGTTACACAAAACTCGTAAATATCGACGGTCATATCACTGACAATCGCGTTTGATCTACCGATGCTTTATTGCCGCGCACTCGCAGATGGAATGATTTACTTACAATCAGCGACAAATTCGATATTCAAATGTCAGCAGAAAGTATGGCGCGGAACGAATTTTCCGATAAATCTCGCGGAAGACTGTCGTCCTAGTCTAATTTGCGGATCGTACGCTAAAAGGAAACTACGTCGTTCGAAGGGCGGAGAAGGTGGGGAAGAATTTATAGTTACCTTAATATCGAAAACTCACTGTGTGTGAATAGTTCGCAAGGAGGTGATATAAATTTCGGGACTAATCCGGTGCTTCCATTTTCGCGAACAAACTCGGGCGATAATTTTTCGCCTGATGTAAATCAGAGATCCTCGAGGAGCGTTCCGGGGGATACGGAAGCTTCTTAAATACAATTAAAAAATTACCATCGCTGCAGAGGGTAAAATATCGCCGATCCCCGGAGAATAATGGAGTTTTTATCGTCGCTCATCGATTAGTACGAAAGAGTGAATGGAGAAAAGCCGGGCGACTTGTTCGCCAAGAAATTATGAATATCAATGAAACGAGACGTTTGCGATACAAATATTTGTATCGCGGCCATAAAACATTTAATAATTTGCTTCCTGTTTCAGGCCAGAAAAATTTGAGGAGGTACCCGGTCATGATGTTCATCCACGGCGAAAGTTTCGAGTGGAACAGCGGCAATCCTTACGACGGCGCCATATTGACGGCCTACGGCAACGTTGTTTTCGTTACAATTAACTTCCGACTCGGCATCCTAGGTGAGAAGTATATAAAATCTCTGAGGAGTCGCGGTCTCGGATACCCAGAGATCGTCGCGAGAATCGATTCCCCTCTTCTCGGTTACGCTCTTATCTGCAGACGGCGGTGGACTGTCGATCGATCCGCCAAGCGGAAAACTACCAACGCCTAATATACCTTCACTGTGCAGCGCGCTGTATAAATAACTTCGTTACGGTTTGTCGTTTACCATGGCTGCTGCCTGCTTCGCAAACTTGCTATCTAAATTTTTATCGCTTCGAGCTTTTCAATATTGGACTTCGCCTTCAAAGAAAGTTTACCGAGGTCGCGCGGTACAAGGGAGTAGATTTATCACGTCGCCGGAAATGTAAATGATGCCCTCCGCCGTATCAGCTTAGTCGCAAATAATTTTAAGCCGTGAGAAAATGGAGGAGCCCAATCTCGCGCACTTTTGCAAAACCCGCGGGAGTAACGCGCGACGTCAAGCTCCGTCTCTGGGGCCGCTCGAATCAGTTGTAAAAATATTCGTATTCATACGAGCGATTTAGCAACAATGAGGTCGTGCTAGATCGCGGCTTGGTACTTTCTGCTACGAGAAAAAGAAACAAAAAAAACCACGAAGGAAAAACCGTTAAATTATTCCGCGTATTATTCAGGCGTGCACTTTTCTCATTGTTACGTTAAAAAAGTATAAAACTGATGTAGTAATAGTATATATTTCTCGCTGTACACGAGAGCGGTCATGCGAAAGCGTCATTATTCAAAAAGTTGGTTAAAAACTGCCATCCAGAAGCGCGGGCGCGTCGCACGCGGGCACCTGCAATCCGAAATTGCCGTGCGCGACCGGCCGTCCTGAAGGGGTTAACAGCGAGATTCCGGCAATCCCTTCTCGCGAGATGACAACGACGGGGGCGCGATGCAAATAGACGTGGGGGGTCGCCCCCTCGCACGGCGGTGGCGCGGCCCGCGTGTACGCGGGTGTGGGTACATTCGGTATATCCGGTAAGTGGAGTGGTTGGTGGAAGGAAAAAAAGAGGCGGACGCGAAACCATAATCATAAATTAGGTTAAAGTGCTGGGGAAGCGCTTAGTAACCCCGACCCGCGCTCCGGGCGGCCCGGAGTTAGCCCGTGAGAAGCCTGCGGATAGCTTCAGCCGCCGCCGCCGCCGCCGCCGCCGCCGCCGCGTGTCCGCCCTGCGCAAAACAGGGGAAAAATATGGTCCCGAGAGCGCGAGGCGGCCACCGCGCTGCGCCGCGCCGGGCAAAAAGAGCGCCGGCGATCGCGTTACCGCGCGAAAGTGCTTCATGTTTAAGCACGAGGGGGGAATTTTGCATCTCCGCGGAGCTAATTAATTGGGACACCGAATACACGGGTCCCCCGGGGGATCTTGGCGCCTGGAATCCCAGTTATTCGAGATCCCCGATAAGAGAGGGGAAAAAAAATAATAAAGAAAGGTGTGTCTCTCGCGGAAGCTTCCGGAAGCTGTCGAGCAGCCGGGTATTTATGGGACTCATTTTAATGAGCTTCGCTTCCTTCCCTCGCGGATTCCGGGAGATTTTCGAGTTTAACAGGTAGTTACCGTTGAAAAATTCAAGGAGACTCCCCCGGATCACTGGATCCCGTAGTCCCGTGACTTTTTAAATTCCTAATTGGCTCGGGGAGACTCCCACTTTGTTATTTCCTTCGAGCTTTACGCTTCTGAGTCCGCAGGTTTCTAAATCTTAGGATTTCACGATCCTCATATTCCTCAGCTCTCCCAAACTGTTGCTCTCTTTCGACGCTTAAGGGGATGCTTAAGAATAACTTATAAATGTTCAAATATTCCTTTGTCGTAATGACCGCGAGACTTTCGTTGCAGGTTTCCTAAGGCCCGGGATTAGAGACGACACCGCAAGTAATTTCGGACTGCTGGATCAAATAGCGGCACTGCTCTGGCTGAGGGAAAACATCGCGGAGTTCGGCGGCGACCCTAACAGCGTCACTTTGATCGGTCATGGAACCGGAGCTATCTTCGCTAATCTACTTCTAATCAGTCCGGTTACTAACAAGAAAGGTAAACGAGGAACAAAAATACTCGGTTATAATCGATCGCGTTTGTTTTCTCGTCCATTTTCTAAATCCGTTCTTCCTCGATGTTCCTTTCCACGGTTCAGTTTCCATTTCCCGTTTTATCGTCATCTGATTCCTGCTAATTTCTGCCAATCGTTCCGGGGAGGGAAAAAAGTTGAACATCCACTCGCAGCGATACTCGCTCGCAAGAACCGAAGGACTATATGCAATCCGAGCTAATCCCTCTCCTCGCTGTAATTGGAAACATTATCCATAGTCATAGGAGCGCACAGTGATCGCATATAGGGATCGCGATTTCCGAGTCGACGGGAGATAATCGTGGGATTAATTGGAGGAATCAGGGCGAGAGAGATAGGCATACGTGCACTTGCATTAAATGCAGTACAGCCCGCGTGTACGGGCGAAACAATATTCGATCGGTGTGCTTTCGCTTATGCGGATGATTCATCGGTCATGAAAGAATTTGGGACGAGACTCAAGATTAACGAGGAAGGTGAATGTTTGTTGCGGCAAAATTATGAAGAAGTACCGATTAGAAATATAGTTGTATTTAAATAATTGTTGATACAATCACAGAAAGAATCTTCTCTCAAAATTTATCCTGAAAATCATGTGATGGTGGGACAACGCGGCATTTTCAAGAACTTTACGAGAGTTTTTTTTTAAGTTTACTATACATTTCACTAGTAATTATACGTAGTATACATTTTACTAGTAGAATATATGGTAAAATTTCAAATAACTCTCATAAAGGTCTTCAACATGCCACGTTGTTCCACGATTACATGATTTTCAGGATAAATTTTGAGAGAAGATCCTCGCCGTGTAGATTATATTGCGTTAAACGAAGAAAACTCGCTTGAATTGAAGCCGTTCAGCCGAGAAAAATATATTCTTATTAAAAATAACGTTCTTGAATGTAAAGAAAACGATATTGAATGGAACGTATTTTCCAATCGAAGATTATAATAAATAATATAATATAATATTAAAAGTAAATTATAGTCTTGAAATGAGACCGTAAAATGGCTGAAAGCTAAGATTGTCAAACATTTCTAAGAAGATTATAGATCGTTGCGTATATACGAAACAATGGACGCGTCAATTTGAGTATATTTTGGACTTGACAATTATTTTATTCTGTGTAACAGAAGCCCTAGTCGGGTCGGATCTTAGTCAAATATTTTCGCGTACACGTCTCTCTGTCGACACAGCAACGAACTTTCGACGCGCAGTTGAAACAGTCTTAAGCTGAAGTCGAAATAGTATACGCAATTAAATTGGTAATCGATTTAATGATATTCCTAAATAAGCGTCTCCTTCAGAGGCAAACCTGTAAAGAACTTATTGCGAAGAGACAACATTAAGTTGCCACGCTGCCGGCGCCGGTGGTCGTTTATTCAGATCTCAACAACTTCAATTACTTCTTTTGAGTTTTCGCCCGCTTTCCGAGCAGGAACTTGCATTGTGATATTTCCACGTTTGACAAGGGACTAAGAATCGCCGGTCTACACGTGTTCAATGGCGAGCACACATCGACCGCGAGCACTCAAGCACTCTCGAGTGCTCGGCCGGCGCTCGGCAGGGTCAGCGTGAACGAGCAGAAGCAAGAAAGAAGATGTCGACCATTTTTCACCCGACCGGCTCGCAATGGCGGCCGGGGAAAGGAACTTTTCTCTTCCGGCCGGGCGCACAATGCCACCACGTCCGGCCAATAATTATATTGTGCAATGAAAAATAACCGGACTTAATATTTTACACGTCGAGACAGAAATGCCCGTGCCACGCCGAGGGTTCTCAAATATTGCTGCCATTTTATATTTATAGCGGCGCTCCTACTTTAGCCACGCATAACATAAGTGCGATCGTTTGTTACGCCACAGCCTGAAAATTGTAAATACGACATTGTCATTGTCGGGGGGAAAAGGGACTAGCCTGTAACAAATAATTTTAATATCATGGACAAAGCGTTTCTAATAATTCCAGCGTCAATTATGACAGAAAATTCTCAAAAGCATTTACTTTTAAGCGCGGAAATTATTAGCCGGGAATAAATTTGAAACATTATCTAAAATATTATGGAAACATTTCTATACATTTTTTTGGGTCAATTATAATAGAGAATCTTTAAAAGCGTTTTAAGTGCTAAAGTTGTTTGCAGAGAGAGTCAGTTTAAAAAAGAAATTTACTTCCTTGAAAAGGACCACAACCCGGATGGCCGAAACGTCGGAACAATTTAAACAAACCACCTGCCAGTTGAAGTCGCAATTCTTTATTTCGTTAATTAACTGCTGGCGACAACAAAGTTCCTTCTCGTTAAAAAATGGATCTCTCACTATCGTATTGCGCGGGGAAGAACTTTGATAAAATTTGAGAACTGCTGAGCGACGTTAAATAGCCGAGTTGTTAATCAGTTGCGTCCTTATTTTGTTGGTGCAGGATTGTTCAAACGGGCCATTCTGATGTCGGGATCAGCAATGAGCGCGGACGCCATCGGCAAGGCGCCATTGCAAATTACCAAGCAGGTAAAGAAAGACGCCACTGCATAATAGTCGCGAATAAAAACGCTAGATGAGGATTGATGCGCTCGGATTTCAGTTTTGCGGAATGACAAATCACTACATGCGGCATCTATTATCATTAATTCCCTGATTGGCTTAATTTTAGATTTTGAAAGACCTTTACATCCCTAGAGTTTATCTCGAGTTCGTTTTAAATCAGACGCTCGGATTCTTGAAACGTCGAATCTGGTCTCGCACCAAGAACTCGCCAATTCTTTGACTTCTGTAATTTCGAATGTTTTTTCCGAGGGAGATAAATTTCCGGATTACGTAAAGTGACTCGTATCTTTATAAATTATGATATCGCAATTTATCCCGACGTGAAAATGTCTCCACCTTTGGGAATCTCACGTTTGAAATCGTAAACTTGCAGAAATCCTAAGATTCTTCTTGCTCTTTGCTTTTCGTGTAATTAATTTTCGTTATTTTAATTTGAAAGAAAAAGAACCGAACTTTTGTTTTTATTTACACGCAACTTTTGTCGTACTACGATTCCGCAATTCTCGAATTCTAAGCCGTTTGAATTCCCAGTCTCATTTGCGGTGAATTCCGAAGAATCCCGAAACGGCGGGACCGCCGTTTATCACAGTTTTTACCGCGGTAAAACGTATGTTTCACAAACGGCGGCGCCGTGTTTCTGCCCCGCCCGCGATTTGAATTCGACGGAAAGACATATCGTTGCTCGTCACGGCGAAGAATCGTTACACAGTTACATCGATGCCGAGGGTGCAGGGTCGTTGGCCCGCGTTCATTGCGCCCGTGAGCAATGGCGGGGATCGTTTTTCAGGTGGCGCACGCTCTCAACTGTCCCACCACCAGCGACAGCGAACTGGCGCTCTGCTTGCGCAACCAGGACGTAGACAGGCTGCTACACGTGAAAATCCACAAGCCGAAATACGTGCCGGCCTACGCACCGTTGATCGACCGCGCCGTCATCCCCGACAAGCCGCTCAATTTAATGGAGAACGTCCAGCTCTTCGGCAGGTACGATTTGGGATTTTTTTTCTATCAAGTCCCCGACAGCACACGCGGGTTCTAAGAACATTTCCGGGATATCGCAAATACGTAGAGGGATGTTTCCAGTATCCTGTACATCTCGTGGAAGTACAGATTATTCGAATGACGATCCAGGAAACAAAGTTGTTGTCCTCCCTTGGGAAAATTTACTTTAAATAAAATTACAGCTTTTAATCTTTTAAATCTAAGAATTAACTTAAAGAAGTTAAAAGTTTACTTGAGAAATTTTAGAGTCATTTTGGTCACTTGAAGTAATTTTTAGATAGCCAAGCCTGTCAAAGTTCCCGCTAGAGGGCCGGGCGACATAGCACTTTCTCGTACGAAGAAAACCGCACGCGGTATCATAAATTATATCACATTTCACAATTCTTAAAGTTTTCTTTTGAATTCTTAAAGTAAGTTTTAAGTTTACCTCAAATAAAAGTTTAAAGTGTTCAGATTTACTTTTCATATTTCTTATTTTTCTAAAGTAAAATTTTAAGGTTTTCTAAGGTATATTTTCCCAAGGGCTTAGACATGGAATATTAATCTTAATCGCGGTGCTTCGTCCAAAGTAACAAATTGCCGAACAATAACATTTCGAGATGCAGGTAGAATCGTCGGTAATGTTTACCGGACGGAGAGAATTTTTTCTTAAAATTTATCCCGATAGTCATGTAATCGTAGGACAACATGGCGTTTCGAAAAATGTCATGTGAGTTTCTTGAAATTTTACCATACATTTTGCCAGTAGAATGTACGATAAAATTTCCAAAAATTCTCATACAGTTCTTCGAATGCCACGTTGTCCCACGATTACACGATTTTACCTTTCTAAAGAAGAAACGTTACCGGCGTGAAAGTCGTTAATATTGAACAATCGAGGCCTCTTTTCCGCGATGCCGTCTGGTTTTGCCGAAGCGCGGTATACTTCACTTCTCTTTTAAATTCAAGCGTCACCTCGCATGTGACAGATTCTCTATCTCTTCTTAGATAATAATATAAAAACAGATGGAGAGAGTCGACTAACCTCCGGTTAATACTTAGTCAGAAAATGAAAATCTGGGCCTTGAAGAAAGTCGGAGAATAAACAAGAAGTTAAAGAGACAGAAGTTAAAGTTAAACATCTAATTGAGTTAAAAAAGAATGATACTGACAAAGTAAAATTTAATAAAACAATGAGAGACAGCGTGGAAACATAATCAGATTGCGTTGAAACGATATCTACCAATTTAGCAAGAATGGATGGAGATGAGAGGTAATATAAAAAATAATTATACTGTATTCGTTATTAATTGAAAGAGGAGATTTAATTGTTAACTAACTTGTCAAGAAAATGGAACAAGCTACCCTAAAATAAGGATAACGCTAAATGGCGCGCGGGTAATGCGTTGTTTTAGCCAGGGTAAATTTTAAAATAAAATTCTCTTCGTATATTAATATAATATTTACCGTGATGAATGGATTACGAGATATATGTCTGTAATCAGTCCCCCCAAGGCGTGCAGAGGGATCGAAGGCATTTGGAGCAAATCCTGTATTTACATTTAGCGAAATGAAAAATAATAAATTGTATTATACGTTGTTTTCAGGTTCGATCTGATGTACGGTATAACGGAATCCGAGAAATTTCACATCCTGCCACCAGTTGCTTTGTTACACGGCATGCTTGATGGACAACGAGATGAGATCCTGCGAGACCATGCCAAAGTAAATTTACCCGTGTGTTGAGTTCGTTTATCCCAATATGAAGCAATCCTTGTTCTATTTATTTTCCTTCGTTCCTATTGGATTTATCTCGAGACATTTTCCTTCCCAGAGCTTCGAACCTCCAGATTCCTACGTTCCACGATCTCCTCCTTTTCTACCCTCCTCAGCTTCTGGATCCTTGGATTCTCCGCTGCGGATTAGAAATTGCTGCTAGAAGTGGTTCAGTTCTAGACCCTTAAACATACGTTGCGGTGATTAGGTTGTTCCATTACCGCACTTTCTCGCCGAGACTTGTAATTTTCTGTGTAAAAATGTGCCTTTAGGCGACGCACGAGCTCGAGCCGGAGCTGATCCTGTCAAAAGTGCTGGAGCAGTACGGCGACTTCTCGAGCGGTTTCACGAAAGAGTACGCGACGAAGAATCGGGACATGGTGCTGGAGGCGCTCTCCGATAGCGGCACCGTGGCGCCGTTAATAATGACTGCCAATTTGCATTCAAGGGCGAACCCGAAGAGCTACATGTACGTCTTCTCGCATCCGAAAGCTATGCAAGACTACTCTGGCGTAAGTAGGTCTCGACGATACAACGAAGATCGATTATCGCGGCTCAGACGCCCCTCGACAAAGCGGGACCCGACATGGAGCGGGAAAAATGTTGCGCGCTGCGTCAATGGGCGAGGAATGGATGCGAGGAGGAGAAAGGGAGGAAAAAGGGGGGGGGGCGGCGGTCTGGCGGGGGATGATGAGTTAAAGTGCACTTCCTTCAATGCTCCAATTCGTGCAGTTTCATGCAACGTTGTTATTCCCCCGTGCGGAGTGTTGCTCCTGAAAACGGAGGGCATTTTTCATCGCCGTACTTTATCGGCGAAATCTGAAATGGGAAATTTACTTTTTCTAATTCTCTAGCCGCGAAAGGGAGGCGATAGTGCGAGAGAAAAGGAGAGAGAACGGGAAAGAAAGATATACATTATGGTTTTCTCCTCAAGAAGCGTAAGAGCGTTGATTGTTTAGAGAGCAACCGAGACGGAACGTTGGAAAGATTTTAGAAAATAGATTCTCCTCTCGTCGAGATCGCAGCTTTTCGAGCAATCAGCAGATGGCATTTCAAGGATTCTATTTTTAATAAGTCGTTATTGAATGTTTTTAAATCGATGAATTTTAATGATAAGTAAATTACCGTTTTACGTTAATAAAACAAACAGTAATAGAAATGTCAAGCTGCATCTTAGTACCTTTTAATAACGATGCTAATTAGGCATCCTTTCATAATCTGTAAATAATTTGTTGCGAAAAATATTACCAGGATTGGAATTTATGAAGTAGGATAGTCCAGAACCTGGACTTCCCCGCTCCATGAATTTTATTTGAAATAGCTATCGTCGCACAAATAACATCGCTAGGAAATTACGAAGAAATTACGAAACACTTTTGCCAGTCGCTGAAGTTCACAATGAGAAAATAGTGACAGCGTCGATAGCCTGCGATCAAATCTCTTAAAGGAGAATCAACTTTAAATTTTCCAATGAACTGGCGAAAGATAGGGCGGAATTTTTGGAACACCCGACGTAGCTGGCGCATTGTATTCATTGTTCCCGGTTTCTTAGTTCAGAAGGGACGAGTTGCGACCCAGTGGCGGCCATTGTGCTCGCACAGTCACCGAGAGAAAAATCCGAGCTGCGAACCCATTTGGATTTCGGCCAACTATTTTTATCGCCGTTGCGTGCGCCGGCAACGATCCCGCCATGCGGTAACCGAGAATATCGTTAAATTGAATGTACCTCCGGGTACAACGCCATCCTCACGTCAACAAGGATATTAGATTTTAAATCTGCAAATAGCGATTTGCAGTGTACATCATTTCCATGTCAAGTTACGTCAATCCCTCTCTTTTTCTCTCTCAATTCCTCTCTGCTCTCCCTCTCTCTCTTCCTCCCTCCCTCGCTCTCTCTCTCTCTCTCTCTCTCTCTCTCTCTCTCTCTCTCATCGTCTCTCTACATGTCTCTCTCTTGTATACGTGGCGAGCGAGGTCGATGAATTTTAATTTCTACTCGTTCTCGTAAATTCCGCCCTTTATTGAACTTCACAAATTGACGCATTTGTAAATACGCTCGGTTTATCGCGCTAAAAATAATTACGATTGCGATAAATCTGAGAACTCGCGCCCAGGAAATTTCATTCGAAAATTGTTAGTGGGATTGATGATGAGCAAGTTTAAACTCGAAATAAAGTTTAGTTTAACAGCTAAATTAATTGAAAATGGCTCGTTAAGTATTACAGCTGTAAGCATCAAGTAATATACATTTTACGTAATTCTAGGTACCGAAGAAAATATTAGGATAAATTTACGCATTTGAATATCACTGAGAGAAATGATAATTTTATTAACAGTCTACAAATTGAAGAGATTTTTTTAATTTTATGAAATAAAAAGTTTTCTGTACATTGAAATATCAGATAATACATTTTTGCCCCTATAGGTATTTGTTTCATAACACAGAACATATTACCTGAAATACAAAATAGATAAAAATTATTTTGAATGTAAATTGAGGTATAAAAATAAATGAGAAGTGAATAAATATGAAATGAATAATTGTAGCAAGATGTATTGATAGTTGGGAGTATCAAAATATGGAAATTTTAGAGGATACATGTGGAAAGAGAGTAAAAAAAACGAGAGATGGAGCGCGGGAGATACGTCGAAAAGAAGTAACAACCTGAGCTTTTGATATTTTCGAGTTATGCGAATAGCATAGAAGTGTCGATAAAATCCGCGCCTCGGTATAAAAGCACATCTAGTGATCTCGTTATATTGCAGCAACAACGTCAACACACAGTGCACGGAGAAGAGTTGCCCTATGTACTGGGTGTCCCATTAGACGGCAGCAAGTACAACTTACGGGGTCGATATGACATCAGGGAGACACTGTTTTCAGAAGCCATAATGAATTGGTGGTGCAGCTTTGCTTATATCGGGTGAGTTACTGAGAAAAAGCGTTTAGTCACGAACCTCATGCGATAATTTATACGTTGCAATATTTGGAAATATGAAATTAATCTCTTAAGTAAGAAATTTTAATTAAAAAGTTCGAAACATTTTTTTTAAATTGCAGATACTTCAATTATTCATTAATTTAAATTTATTTCTATTTTAAAGTAGCTCGAGTTAAAGCTTAAAATTATAGATAACCACGTTATGAATAATAATGTGCGAATTAAAAGAAGTTATTTTATTCGGTTGAAATTTTGACAAATTGAAAATTTATTCCTCTTGTGTGCACCTTATATTCAGAAATATTTCACGTTTTATTCAACGCAGCAAATTATTAATTGAAAAATGTAAATAAAATTTGCAGAGCTGGCTGACTGTGATTACGCAAGCTTGAAAAAAGAGAACTAATAAATTTGAATCATAATCTGGAAAATTATCACGATGAGCATTAAAGTTAAATTAAAATTAGTATTGAAAGTTCAACGTATGAGCGGCGGCCACCGCGTAGAAACAATCGTATTTAATAACAACTGGCGAACAATTGTTGCTGGGCGTTGACGCGAAAATCCGTAGTTGGTAAAGTTGGACTTGGTAACACACGTATCTGGGAACGTGATTTTCAATTAACTAAACATTCAGGCGTTTAATTAAACCAGGCAGTAATATATTTTTCCGTTGCGCATTTGGAAACAACTGAACTTTATAAGCACATCTCAATTCGAAAATAAACGATTTAAACAATTTACAAAGTATTATAAATTAAACGGCGGATAAATTTGCAGGAGTGGAAATTTGCAAAATGTAAACTGTATATTTATAAAAATTAATGTAAGTTAAAAATATATATATCGTTATAAATATGTCATTATTGGAAACACAGATTTTAAATATTTTAATGGAGGAACATGTGTGCGAGCAAAATTTATAAATTACACAATATGTTTAAAATTAATTAAAAAATTATTGTACACATTTAGTGTATACATTTTATTACAAATGCGGTTTAGGTATAGACAGATTTGGTGGACGCGACATATCGTGTCGCTTTCAATGCAGATAAAGGGAGGCATTGTTATTCCGAATGCTGAATTACTGGTTAATAGCTAAGCGAAATAATGTCGGGAAAAAAGTACAATGGATCGCAATTCCCGATTACAACGTAATTTCATTTTTCTACCATAAATATTTACCATAACGCAAAGGTCAATGTTTATACGAATTCGGATAATCTTTTTCAGATTCTCGCTAAACTAATTGTAAGTCATCGAATCCTTTACATTTTGTTTTGTATACACGAATATACACGCATTATACGCGTGTTCGGAATTCGGTTCTGTATTGGCACGACGCAATTTGACGCTTGTTATGCTGATGCTCGATATTGCCGAATTAACGATCCGGCGAATCGGCCGTTTTAATTTGCGCGATGAAAGCAGATTATCCGCAGTTCCGAATTATTTCGATATTTCGTTTTATTCAACAAAACATTCCGCTTTATTTGGTCGGACAAGCCCAATATTCCCTCTGTATAAAAGCCACGCTTTGTTTAAATGGGAAAATACTGAATTTCTAATTGCATAAAAAATTTATTCGCAATTACTTTGCGAAAGGTCGAATTTTTAATTACATACAAAATTCACAGCCGAGTCTGCGCGAATTAGAGTAATCGAATCCTCGCGCGTTACAATTCAAGTATATTATCGCGCCGTTTCTGTCTTATCGTTAACATTTAAAAGGACAAGATTAACAGATCGAGACGCGAAGTACGACTTTACGTATGAGATCCACACGAAGCGTATACCGAACTCGCGAATTACTTTTATTAAAATATCAATCGGGAATAAGTTTTACATTTTAACTGTACATTTTAATTGTACCGATTTAACATTCGCATTCGCGGCATTGCGCTACTTTCCCCGCGGATAATTCGTTTCTTGCGCGACACGTCTGTGCAACCATATTTCGCATTATATCCCCGCTATTTTTTGCCAGACACTTTGAACATATGGCTTGACTAGAACCTATGCATTACTATGGTGACAGAGCTCAGAGGGGAACTAGGTCGGCGCAATTAAGCAAAACAAAGGTATTTAGATTTAGCGGGCGAACGCTACGCGTTTGTAAACGCTGGCACAGCTGATCGATATTTCATGCGTTACCGTATCCGCGTCCCCGTAAGGGCCGCGCCTCTTTGCCATAATAAACGACGCGCAGCATCTGTCCCGGAGCACCGTCAGTGATAACGACTGACGGAAAACGTTTTTTTCCCCCCTTTTTTTTTGGTTCCACGTTGTATGAACGCCGCGCCGCCACGCGTGATCGATCGGATACATCGCGTTCAGTCAGACCGTCATTAAAAAATCATTTCCTCGCGTGCTGAAACCGCCGATGTGCACCGGCGAGCTGCATCTTCAAAATTAATAGAGATTTCTAAAAGTCGATGGACGCTAGGTAATCCACTGGATTACGATATTATGGTTCGGTATTTCACACACACACACACACACACACACACACACACACACACACACGTACGCACACACGAGAGGGTTTGTGGAATTTTACACTTGAACAAAAAAAGTTTTAGATTTTACAATTTTCAGATTTAAATTACAAAACGTGCTGAATTTTTTAACTCTGCAACGCGTTTGCGAAAAAAACTTGAGTTTGACCAAATTGAATTCCACGTCTAACTGCGCAACATTTTTACAATAACAGAAAGAGAACAGCACCTCGAGCATCCCTGTGGACCATTCTGGATTATCCGATACCTTCTTCCCCTATATCACTCCAATTTCCTAGCGGTATTAATCCCAAGCCGCCCCGTACACGGCCTAAACAAAAGTTATCGGCGGCGCTTCCGCCGCTGCATTAGCCATTCGTGATTATTTATCAAAGAAATTATTCGAATCCCCCAGGAATCCCAACGTCGCGAAGCGATATCCCTATCTGACTAGCGTGTTCAAGGAATGGGGTCAGTATGAGATCGAGTGGCCGGAATACGATCCTGCCAATCAAACGTATTTCAATCTAAGTAAGTCAGCAGAAATCACGGCATCGGCGTGTCTCGAAGCATGCGAGCGCTAACCGAAATGTAATAAAGTCGTCGGAGATTCCGATTCATGTAACGCCCTCTCCATTCATGCGTCCCGCGGTCGAAATAACGTGATTACAAAGCAAGATCTATTGTTTGACGTTTGGCGCCGCGTCGGGAATTCTGTTTCACTTGCACATTACGCAATACTTTTCCTCGCACGCAGCCATACCGCCCAACGTAGGCGCGCACTATCGTTCGGCGGAGATGCAGTTCTGGAATGAGGACCTGCCCAATCTGCTCAGGCACCCGAATAAAGACATCTCGGGCCCGACACGACCGAGAGGACCGCGACCGCAGATTCTTGACTTCGCCGACGGGATTGGCAAATATGTCAACAATACCGCCAACCGGAAGCACAACGGCCACGATACTGGGTCGGTAATAATTAATTTTGTGCTGCACGCATTTCGCCGCTTCGCTGTTAAATGCACATCGCTGCAGCAATTTAAATTACCTTTCTGAAAACACGTAAAATACTTTACGTGAATTTTTTTTAATTCGAAAAAGATTTCAGACAATAATTGCACCTCGAGGAAATTTATTTAAATTGAAGAAATTTACGAGACTCTACTTTTTCTTCTGAGTGTAGAATTGTTGTTGCACTTTTACACGTCTTTGTCAAGAGTCGCGGGTTGTGCAAGATATTTTTCCAAGCAGGTACGCGCCCTCGTCCAGCGTCGCAGATTCCAGCACGGAGGGGACGCCATTTTCACCTGTGGTTACAACGGCTGGGGGCGTCGGGGAGGGCTCGACGATAGAGCCGAGCACGTTAAGAACCTCGTCGGCGATGATGATGGTGATTGTCTTTTTCGTGGTGTTTATACTGATAAACTTCACGGCCTTCCTATACATCTATTATAAGAAGCAGAACGTGAAGGGAAAAGAGAAGTCGTTGAAGAGACGCGGCAGCGAGAAGAAAAACGATTCTGTCAAGAGGTCGAAGACTGATAAACACGAGAACCATTACGGCCAGCTAGGCTACAAAAGCGACAGCAAGCCAGATTTGAACGACGTGATAAAGAACGACAAGGCATACGACAACAACTCCAACTTTGGACGCAGATCGAAGCTATCGAGGCAGAATTCCAGCTCCACTATTGACACCCACATCAAGGTTCGGGAATGGATTCAGCAGGAGATTGTGCACAGGTCAGTGAAGAACAATGTTCCGCGTGATAATAATTAATCCTTGATCCTCTCGCTCTGAAATATTGCCAAACACAATTGTGAATAACATTCTGTTATTAATAATTGCGGCCGTTATATTTCCATTAATTACAACTAATCAAATACAAACAATTATTGCTGAAATGTTGGTAATAAAGATTTCAAGTTGAAAATTCGATTTATACGCGAGCTAAACTGGATAACTTTTTGAATTTTAGCTTTATTCCACGAAATTATTTATTTCTTTGAAATGTTTTTGCCACGCGCGGAAAAGTCGGCTTTCCGAAATTTTATATAATCAGAAATGCCAGTTGGAAAATTATACTTTCAAATGAGAACCGGAATTGAACGTAGTTCACGTATTTCGGGTAAATAAATAACTCGAGGTAATTTAGAGATTTTTCATTAAATCACTCGGCATTTTAACGCCACCCGCTGCCATGCGTCATGCGATGCTCTCGTGGCAGTCGTTTCGAACTCGATTTATACGTCTTTCCTAATTGCGAGGAGCTGAAGATACTCGTGGAACGCTTACCCTCGCAAATTCGTCGATCGCGGTAAGGGTTCTGCGACCCAGTAATCCAATTAGAGGTTCCGCTTAAAGAGTGGCTGCTTTGAGACGTGGCCCGTATCACTCAAATCAGGGAATTCAGTTCCCTTTCTCTCTTTCGCCCTCGAACATTTCGTTAGACGTATTGACTCGTGGGGAAACGTTGACAAGTGCTGGCCTACAAAGTTAATTGAAACTCGACTTACAGCTCGACTCGGTCGACTCTCGTTTATTCAACAAGCTACCATCTGGCTTGTAAATGGCGCAATAATCTTTTTATTTTTGTTGCCGCGATAAATTAGAAAAATACACGCTAATAACAAAAGAAAATACGACGCGGGGGAAAAAAATATGTTATGCGGAATATAATAATAAAAATAACTGTCGCGTTTGTAATATGTACAAGTTGCGTAATAAATATCTCGTGAAACATTTCTATTTTTAATATTTTGAATTCCCGAAAAAGGGAAAAATCCCTTTTCGTGAGTTATTAAATAGACTCTTTTATTTTCGGATCGTAACATCCACCATGATACGCACCGTTTGCAGGGCTTCGTGTAATATAGCCGTAACGTACGACGTACAGTAGCAAAATTATACATATTCCGGAAACATATTCCGGAAACATATTCAATTATAAATCTGAATTATGGGACACTGCGCGTAAAATAAACAAATGTAATACATCATTAGGTAAATGTGTTTGGCAAAGTATCTTTTTGCTTGTTGTTATAACGCACAAGATTAAAAGTGATTAATTAGCTCCGGGACGTGAAAGTGCAACCGCTATTATTACTGGCCGTTACCAAAATCGCAAAATTAATGCGTATATACCTTTCATTTGCGAAATACATAAAATGGTGTTCTATGATCAATAACTTCCAATAATTGGACGCAATAACTGGTCAGTTATAACAATTAGTAACATTAATGGCACTAATATTGAATTTTGCGTAAAATTCGCAGGAACACATGTTGTTACACTAACTCGCACGGTGGTTGCCTTTCAACAGAACTTTTGTTTATCATTTAAATATTTATTACAACGATGGCGATCAAACTCAAACAACTGCCAAGTGGAATTTTCGAACAACTTGAATCGCAGTAACTTTGTAATTAAAAATAATAACGTAAGAAACTGGCATTGAATTTTGGCAGAATTGTAACGTATTTATTTTACTGGTTCGCGCAGAAGACCTTTTTAAAGAATACTCGTGGAATCGATCGGAGTTTTATCCTACGGTGTTGTTTTGTCCGTACAGATGTTCGCCGAGGTTCTTACGTAAAACGCGAGAAACATTGCAGAAGGAGCATCAGGAGAAGCTGAGCAAGCAGCAGCAAGAAGAGAAGCAGCGCGTAGAGGAGGAAGCGTCCAAGGAGAGGAAGGACGAGCCGATATACGACGAGAGCCCGGCGCTGGTGGTGCGCCCCGGGAAAAAGTCGAAACTGCCCAAAATTTCCGTGGCCATTGACGCCACGCCGGCGACCAGGACGGAGTCCATTCTGAATCAGATGCCGATCGAGTTAACGAAGAGCATCGAGGCGGCGAACGTGTACGAGCCGAGCTCGCAGCAGTTGATGACTCCCGAAGTGATCGTCATAGAGCACCATCATTCGCGGAGCGACCCGTTGCCGATGGAGACCGTTTTGAAAACGATGAAGCCGAATTTCTCAGCTCCCAGGATTCACGAGTCGGACTCGGGAAGCGCGAGCAGCCTGTACGCGAAGATCAACCCGAAGCTGAAGTCGCGTCTGCCCCGTCCCGGCGTGGGCGCGAACGCGGAGGCGCCGTTGCCCGAGGAATCCAAGTACGAGGGTCTTCGGGATGAAGAGATCTACATGAAGACCGGGCCGGTCCTCACGACTTTCGGCACGAGCGACGTAAACGTGACGTGCCGGGAACCCACCACGGAGAGGGAGTGCATCAGCCCCGAGGAGGCCCTGAAGACGATAAAACGTCGAAACTACCCCAAGGTGCTGCCGGATATCGAGAAGAGGCGATCGCTTCCGGCGCCGAGCAGCCTCTTCGTGCCGAAACAGTACGCGAATTCGTTAAAGGACTATAAGAACGGCAATCGCGCCAACTTGGTCTCGAATCAGCCGCCACTGCCACCCCCGAGGATATTTGGCACCTCCAAGAGCTTGGAGAAGAGCAGCGGCTTCCTCGCCGAGGAAAACGAGAGCCAGACCGAGAGCGAGCCGATGACGACGAACCTGCACGTGGGTCCCTTGCTAAAAAGACCGGACTCCGCGAGAAATAACTCCGATCCCAATATAATCGATTCCTTGGACGGAAATAGAGGTGTCCAGGCTGGCGGAAGTGTCGACGCTATTTATGCTAATCCGAGGTGTCCGCTTCACGGGAGTCGATATCCCGTCGCGCCGAGCTCGCACAGCGTCGGCGACGATCTCGGCAAGGCTTCCGGGCTTTTGAACGCGGGCAACCCCAATTGGTACAAACCGGCAGCGGGCGAGTCGTCAGCTATAATGACGTCGACCGCGTCGGAACCGCAGATCGCGATGAGCGGGGACGAGAGAGGCGCCGCTGGCGTCGCGACGCCGACGGTAGAACCGAAGATCGTGATCGCGCCGAGGGCGGTTAATCCGTGCCAGGTCAATCGACAGCCGAGCCCGACGGCGCGTCCCGAGGACAGGATCGATCGCGAGCCGTGGGCGATTGGAGGATCGTCGGAGGCTTCGAGCACTTCCGGCGGCTCGATGACTTGGCGGGAGACGGAGAGGAGGGAGCCGCGGATAATCATCACCGCGCGGGAGCCCAAGAATTGCGCCCCGGCGAGCAGTCTGAAGCAGCCCAAGATCATCATAAAGCCAACGGCGACTCTGCCGAGGAGCAGGGATCAAAGGAATATACCGAAGGTGTCAGCCATACCGTCGCCGGAACAGCAGAATTGTCAGAACAGCGAGCGAGATAGGGCGCTCGAGCAAAGGGAAAAGCCCTCCCTGAGGGAGAAGCCGAGGGTCACGAGGATACCGTCCTTCTCACGCAGGCGGGAGGAGCCTGGTATTGAAAAGCCGTCGTACGTAGAGAAGACAGAAATCGCGCCGAGGGCGGAGGCGGCGGCCAGTAAAATCACAAACGCGCCATCGACACCCGACGCCAGGTCGGGCATACCTATGCCGGCGACAACGATGACGCCGAAGAGCGAGAAGACCCCCAGCACGGACTCGTCGTCCGCCAGCAACGGGAATTCCAGTAACTCGAATACCGGTACGATCAAACGGAAGCCGGCGAACAAGAAATAATTGGCCGGAGCCAATTCGAGTGCCACGTGTTATGTCCCGTCCTATTTCGCGAAACGCGTAGATGGAATGCAGATGGGGTCTCTATACCATTCCGGCCAAGTGTCGATATAGTCCCGCGACGGCGCCCAATCTCTTCCACGAGACATTCGCTAACGCGCCCACGCGCGTAATTCGTAATAGCAACGTAATTAGCAAAGCGCCATTTTCTCTCTACGTTTACGTCCAAATCGTTTTCGCTCTTCCTTCAAATCTTTCCTTATTTATGCGACGCCGAACTCGTCGAACCGTAAGATCCTTCTCTTTAGAATTAATACTATTTATTAGGGGAAAGTCCTTTATCACGAGATAAGCTCCTGATACGAGATATCGGGGTTTCTGCTAAATTTCTATGGGCCTCATCTGTTGGTTCCACCATGAATTTATCGCCCTTGGAACGAAATCTACTCATAGATCGCGTAATTGTCGCGGAAAAAGACTGATTTTGAAAACCTGCTGTCTCGTATTAAAAGCCTGTCCCATGATATGGGACTCTCCCCTACTATCCTGGACGTTCGATAACGCGTGTGGTACCACAGTTTAGCGACGCTAGCGCACTTTTTATTCGAATATAACTTTTGTATTTATAATAATATAACTTTTGTTATTAATTGTATCGTACTATTTTTCTACGACTAATTAGAGTTACGCGACAGACGCGCACTTAATCCAATTGTATATCGTGTAAATAATAACGCTGTGAACGTTTAATTTTACGATCTAGACCGGCGAACCCGCTCCCGCGTACGTTTGAGCGACTTTCAATCGACCAACAAATGTCGATTATGCGTCATGAGCTTGGATGTTAATAATTTTCAAGGCACTCGCTCTTTTGTACGCCCATACGTAAACTTTATACGATGTGAATAAACGTTTTTCGTACTTTTTCAACAGAAAACTCAAAATGGGAGCGCGTCCCATCGCCGATTCATCATCTCCCTTCCCCCCTTTTCGCGCAAACGCCGCGCCGTGTATCCCGTGACGTTACACGCGTCTCGCAAACTTTGTTATTAAGTGAGGCAGCTCTGTAAGTCGCGCAGATGCAGCGGGGAACGACAAGCTAAAGTGGTTGGCGAGTTCTCACTTATATTACCGGTGGATCGAATTGATTTTCAAAGTTCGCCCGATAATGGGATTCTCCTCGCCTCTAACGTCGCCGCGCGGAAAGGAAGAGGCCATTTTCACGCGAGCTCTCTTCTCCCCCCTGCAATCAGTCTGTCTCCATCTTCTGTCGCTCATCTCTTTCGCCCTCCTTTTCTCGTGTTTTCGTTTCATCTTGTCCCACGTCATTCGACCCGTTCGAAAGCGTCACCCTGATCAGGGTTCAAGGAGCGAAAAAAGACGGTGCGAGTGTTTTGACGGGACTTTCGGCGAGTTTTTGGCGAAATTGAGTTTCCAAAAATGGTGCGACGTCTAATGGCACGGTGTAGAAGAACGAGTTTTACGAGAAAATGATATCCGAGGGCAGAGACGGATAAGAAAGCAATTGTTGCGCAAATTTTTTCTTTATAAGAAAGAAACAACGCTCGTTGAATGTGCAAACAAGTATCAAGGATCAAAAAGATACGAGCGGTACGTTATATTCGATAAAAAATAGTCTATTAACTATACGATGACGCTCAGACTGTACGAAGTCCCCATCGATACCGTTAAAAAGGTGAAATGTAAATTAATCGAATAAATCAATTAAAAATAGCGAGGCAATAAAAACGTACCGAGGGTACAACGTATTAAAAGGTCAGTGATATTCGCAGAATTTATTAATTCGCAACTTTTTATTGATTTGTTCGAACAATTTACATTTCACATTTTTAATGATATCGATGAAACTTTTTATCGCCGGAAACAATTTGACTTTAGACCGATCCAAAGTATTGTCTGCAAATTATCGAGGCTGAATTACATACATGTATTCGGGCCCCACGGCTCGTGTGAGCGAAGCTCATCAGTTTAGCCCGCTGAACTGCAAGACACGAGTAATCTGACAGCGATAACTCGGCCATATCCTCGGAGCATGCATCGCTAAGTTGGCGCTTAGATGCCGGTGTTGTCCTCTACCTTATGCGACAGCGCGTAACCAGTAATCATCCACCGCACACGACGAATGGGGGAAGGCCCTGCGGTCGCTGTGACAGTTGCGTGGCACTGCGTGACCCATTGTCAGAGTGATATACTATCAGAAGTAACGGAGGGAACAAAAGCCAGAGATCCTGTCTTCTACAGATGCCCCCCTCGAGGCCGGATTCCGATTTCTGTAGAATCACAATAATCATGACGGCGAAATGGAATGACAATCTTCATTCTTTATCTTAGATCTTTGTCGTCTGAACATCAAAGTTTTTCTTTCGTGTATTTATAAACTGTAAAAATTATCCCACAAACTGACGATTGAAAAGATGTCGAAGTCTCAAAAAATCTACATTGAGTCTAGCTATCGAAAAAATATTATTATAATACGTTAACGTGCATGAATAACATTTTTCCGATATTTAAATAAATTGGAGGATTGAAAAATATTTCAAATTCGATAGGATACAACTATTCGTGTGGTTTCTCTTATTTCGCGACGGCGAAATGGAATCTTAATTTTCATTCGTCATCTTAGATCTTTGCCGTTTGACTAACAAAGTTTTTCTTTCGTGTATTTATGAAATGTAAAAATTATCTCACAAACTGACGATAAAAGAAATGTCGTCGAAATCTCAAAAATCTACATTGAGTCTAGCCCTCGAAAAAATATTATTATAATACGTTAATGTGCATGAATAATATTTTTCCGAGAATCCTTCTTCAAAAAAGAGATATTACCAGCGCGAATGTCGTTAATATCGAACAGTTGAGACCTTTTTGCCGCGATGCCGATTAGTTCTCTCGAAGGGCGGTGTGCTTCACTTCTTTTTTAGATTCGTCTCATGTTTCAGCTCGCACCTGAATTTTGACAGTTGTGCAAAAATATACTTAAAGAAAGTTAGAGACTAAACAAAAAGTTAAAGAAGATTAAGTTAAAGTTAAACATCTAATTGAGTGAAGAAGAATGAAAGAAAGTCTCATTCTTCTGATGAAATGCAACGATAACTAATCTTCTTTTTAAAAAGGTATGTAAGACGAATTATTAACGCTGTTCCGCGATACTGATTTTCTTGCTTGGCTTTGTAGTGCGAGTAGCTGTCAGCGCGAAAATCATGTAATATGTATTTTGACAGAGTGTCAACGTCAGATTACGTCTTTTTCACATGAAAAAAATCTTAATGTGTGAAGAAGATCACGAATAAATATAAAGTAAAACCAAATAGCGCGCGCAATGCTATTTCCAATAAAGTATTTAATACCAATTTATATTATTATTAAAGTAAATAATTCGATAATTTTTGCACATAATAAATGAAGATTTGCAATTTAGTAATATACATTTGTATACACCAACTATTGAGGTAAAATCTCAAATCTCAGTAACTTAAGTAACAACGATTTTTGTTTCGAAACATTTTCTCGATTGAACAGAATTAATCGTTAATTTAATCAATACCAATAAGTCCGCGGAATAATACGCAAAACGTTGCAACAGTCACGGAACAAAGTAATGTACAATAAAATATTAAGTACGGAATTTTCCATTGCGTAGGCAGGCCAACGAATTCTCAACGTTTTTTTTGTTGTTTTTCATTCGGCGCGGTATCGTACGACGATTAAGCGGGCCAACGAATTCTCAACGTTTTCTTGTTGTTTTTCACTCGGCGCGGTGACGTACGATGTTTTTGCATGCCATCGTGTAACTGAAGGTCGCTGCGGTATCACTTGCTCGCCGAACGTCGAGCCGGCAGGCAGTGGCGAGAGTCGCTCCGTGAGTGTTATTACTTTTGCGTTATCGGTTTCCAAGACTCGATCGCGATGAATGGAGGGATAAAACGCTTTTGATTTGTACACCTTTATCAGTAACAAGTAACGTTCCTTGATTAATTATTAAGTTTCTACAACTTGTAATGAGAAACGAATTGCATGTTGAGACGACGGCTCTGTACCAACGTATACGTAGATATTTCACGAGACTAACTCATCTAAATTATGAATGTAAACCGTGGTATGTTATCGCGATTACATCTCGTTTACGCACCGCGCTTTTAATTATCTATCGGCTTCGTGTAATCTGTTCCATTTTCGGGAAGAGAGAAATTTGTGCGACGTCGGCGTTCGCGCTGTAATTCGTTCTGTCGTTCTTCGCAACTCGAACGGGCGAGAAGTAAAGAAAGTCGCTTATCGTACGTCGTTACATTGTGTAAATGTAATCGAAAATTATCTCAATTGACTGTTGCAATTAATAACAGCTATTTATCGCTGGAAATTTCGCTAACATAATTTATTTCGAGGATTAGATTGAATGACAAAGATTGTAAAATCGTTTCGTTGCGGACTAATGACTACTTCTTTACCGCAGATTATGCTTCAAATGCTCACGTTGCGTTTTATATCGCCAATTCAAAAGTGATTTATCCATTCTTCCGAATCGAAAATGCGAAGTTGTTAGTTTGAATAATTTGTATGACAGAAAGTCGCGCGATAATTGTTAATAATATTTCGTGCGTTTCGAGGTATTTCACGTCGCGTACGGGAATGTCCGAAATTTCGCGCGATCGATGATTTTCGCGAGTGAGTGTTGTGTGAGTGCAACAAGGAAATCTGAGAGGAGCAGCAGGCCAAGGAGGCATCGGGCAACGGCGGAGAAATCGTGAGGTAAGTGTCTTACATTTTTATGTCATTTGCTACTTGTGCAAGATTAAGCATCTGTTCTGCGTTTTTATTTTATTTATTCAAACGAGGATTCGAATAAGTGTTAGAGACAAAACCATATGTATACAATTTTGTGAGTTTATATTAAAAAGAAAGACTTTTTCAGTATTCTATATAATTAATAAATACCTAGTATTAAAGTATAAAATATAAAGTATATTTAATACAATAAATTCAATTTTACATAATTACTATAATAATCATGTACATATTTGTATGTTTACAGTTTCACATATATACTTAAAGATGTACTACTCTGCTGTTGCGAATCGTATCAGTGAGTGATAAATTACTTTTTATTTTAAATTGACGTTGTCCATGCAATTGCTTCTTTGCATGTACACAAATTCTTAAAAATACATAAAGCTCAACCACAAAATGCGCGCGCGAAGCGCGCGTTTTGTCATTTCTAGTCTTATAAGGCGTGTTAAGTCGATAGTCAAAAGTATTGTTGTCGCTTTTCCGAGATGCTGCTTGGCTGTCTCACTTGTGCGATACGACATGCTTCAGTCGCGTTATTTGCAGCTGTCAAACCATGCAAATTTACAGAGAGTGCAAATGGCGCGCGCGAAACGCGCGCTTGCGTTGTCTGGTTAAATAAATTTGAGGATTGAAAAATGTTTCAAATCGACAAAGTAAAATGTAAAAATTATCCCACAAACTGACGATTAAAAATATGTCGTCGAAATCTAGAAAAATCTACATTGAGTCTAGCCTTCGAAAAAGTATTCTTATTATACGTTAATGTGCATGAATAATATTTTTCTAATAATTAAATAAATTTGAGGATTGAAAAATGTTTCAAATCCAATAGGATACAACTATTCATATGGTTTCTCTTATTTCGCGACGGTGAAATGGAACGACAATCTTCATTCTTCATCTTAGATCTTTACCGTCTGAACGACAAAGTTTTTCTTTCGTGTATTTATAAAATGTAAAAATTATCCCGCAAACTGACGATTAAAAATATGTCGTCGAAATGTAAAAAAATCTACATTGAGTCTAGTCCTCGAAAAACTATCATAATACGTTAATGTGCGCGTGAATAATATTTTTCCGACAATTAAATAAATTTGAGGATTGAAAAATATTTCAAATCCGATAGGATACGACTATTCGTGTGGTTTCTCTTATTTAAAAGTAATGTTCGCATGTAAACACTTACGATAAATTATAATTAGGATAAATTCTAATGGCTTACGCTGCATTCGCAGTTATGCCACATAAGTTTGTAATCAAGCGTCGATGAGTGGGGTAATTTCCGTATCGTGATTATCTGTGGCACGCGCGTCTAATTATCACACGATAATCAACGATTAAGCACGAACCTGTGCGGCAACCTCATTATTATGCCTGGGACGGCGTCGGAGGGACTGCGGGTGCATAGATACATAATTTCGTCTTCTCCGTCTGAACCAATTAATAAATTTGCACGGACTACCTGCTCCCCCTCCCCTGGACAAGGTCGGTCCGTCTATTTCCACTAGTGGCCATTGTTTCCAAGACAATACCGGCTACTTGGCAGTTAGAATACATTGTACCGCTCGAGAGGTGGCTACTGAACGCAATGTCAGATTAATTAGATTTTGAAATGAATACACGAGGTACCCCTCACTAACTCCTCTTTAATTGCAACGCACATGCAATTGGAACGAGGGCATATTTTTTTATAATGTTATGGTTTTAAATTATTTCCAAGCAATAGATAATTAACGAACGATCAATTGCAATTCGCTTCTCTCGCGTGCCCGAGCTATCTTGATTGGTTCGCGTTAATAGTTTCCTATTAAAAAATTGCTCGGGTCACGACGCTTTCTTTCAAATACAGTTTGTGTTATTTACGCACGCAACGCCAATTGAAAGAGCGCTTGGTGTTCATTGCAAACGGACATCACGTGTAATTCTGTAAACGATCCCTCTTTCAGTCTCAAGCTGGGTGTAGGAAATAAACGACAATGGTACATTCAGTGGAAATGACAGTAATCGAAGAGACCGCAGCCGTCCCCAGTTGTAAAAGTTCCCATTGGCGAGATTTGTAATTTCTATTGGGTCCGCGGATTTCAATTCCGGGGATTTTAGAAGCAAAGTCCAAGAACAATATCTGTACAATTTAAAAGGATTAAAGTATCTCGGGATCCACGGGAAACCCCCTCCCTGCTCCCAAGAAATAAATAAAAATTCTACTGTTAAAAAACTCCAGGTTTCAGAAACTCAAAGATCTAAGATTGCAAAGGTAGAAAAGAAGCATTCAGACGTCCGCGGAGATGGTTGAGAAAATTCTTGAGCAAGACACAAACGAAAGACAGATCTAAAGAAAATATCTTTAAATGGAAGCTTAATCTCACCTCGAAATAGCTCTGATCCATGAGGAAACAATCCCAACGTCTCTGATGCGCCATGTCTGATAGCTACCGGATGTTTATCAAGTTTTTTTATCAAATGGTTTCACATTTTCCATCACCCCTTTTTCCATCCAACGGATTTATTCAGCTCCCCTTTTCCCATCATACAAATTAAAGAAGAGCAAGTCTATTTTAAAACGAACGTATCAAGATTTGCAAAAAAAATCCTAGTATTAATCTCCCGTTAATCATTTTTCACTTTCAAACCTATACTCAAAGCTATATTTTTTTGCATCACTGTTTACGATTTATAAAGTTCGCTTCGGCGCGTCTAAAAATTAAAATGCTCGAGGAAACCAGTACAATTGTCAATGAACCGATTGCTTAGGAAATTCTAACGAATTTTCATCGAATTACCTATTACGACTGGAAAGATGATGCTTCCCAGCGTAACTAACTGGGCACCAATACAGGCTCAGTAATTCTTTATTAAGAAAGTTCCGAAGGATAACTTCATTAATGTTTGTACCTGTTCGACAGACGCCGGAGGCGATCGAAGTTGAAAATTGTCCGTCGTTGCGGCGACACTCGATAGCAACTTGCAGCAACCCAAATCCAATAAAAAAGTACATGTGCCCCACAATGTCGTTGCGAGAGATCAATTTTCATGATTTGACAGACAAAGTTTTTATATTACGCGCGAAATAAAGTTGTGGATGCGTGCTAATAACTGATGGTGAATAAATCTCGAGCTCTCTGGAAATATGAAAAATTTCGGAAACTCTTGAAATTTTTATACAACTTTCACACCAAAAAATTTTTGTTAGAGCTTCCTTAAATTACTTATATCGCTTGTATACTTTGTGAACTGGATTTTATTTCTCAAATCTCTTAATTTGAGTGTCCGATGCAATTAACTGGCAATTCTCACACAATGAAATAATACGCGTAGATATATTTACGGTTATAGAAAATCAAAGTGAAATAAATTTGTCAAACAAGCTTTTTCTTGAACGTTCGCTGTTTCGCATTGGGCAGTCTTTGTGAGTCCTCATTTCCATCTAC